TGGCTGCTGACACGTCCCACCCCAGAGCCAGTTGCATTTCAGTCCCGTGTCCCCAGGGCCCAAGGCTTCACCCCAGAAGCAGCCGCATCCCCGTTCTACTCAGCTACCGACACCCGGCACCCCAGAGCCGGCTGCATCCGTGCCCGGCTTTGTACCCCCAGCCCCTGCCCCACCCCAGAGCCAGCTGCATCTGTTCTACTTGACCGCTGGCACAGCCCACCCCAGCGCCAGCTGCAGCACAGACCTGGATCCCCAGCCCTGAACCCCATCCCAGAGCCGGCTGCAGCCCAGCCCTGTATTACTAGCCACGATGGCCCCCCAGAGCCAGCTGTATGCGTTATACTCGGCTGCTGCCGCTTCATACCCCAGAGTCAGCTGCAGTTCAGCTTCATGTCCCCAGTCTCCCAGGCCCCACCCCAGAGACAGTCGCATCTCCCGTCTCCCACCTTCAAGGCTTCGTCTCGCTCCTTCCTGGTTGCCTCCAGCTGCTTCTCCAGGGCTCTCAGCTGCCCCGAGGTCTCCCCCTCCTCATGGGTCTCTGCTCCAGGGACAGGGGAGGGCAGAGAACATCACCCCTAGGCCCAGCCTCCCCATAGCCCCCTTCCTGGCCCCAACCCCCGCAGATCTGCCCCACCCCGGTGTCACCCACCCACGAGCTGCTGGGAAACCTTGTCCACATCCCTCTTCGGGCTCCGGGTCTCCGCATCTTTGGTGGGGGATCGGGACAGCACGTCTGCAAGGCACAACTCCGCCCGGTCAGTGCCTGGGAGGGGAGCGCGCTTGGGGTCCCTCCAGCAGGGAGCGCGGGCCGGATGTTAAAGCATGCGGAGCCGAGAGCCCGGACACCTGGGTCCACTCCCCAGCCCACCACACCTCCAGCCACAGGGCCTGGGTTGCATGGGTGCCCTGCCCCCCCTGTGGGGCAGATCTGAGCCCCTCCCTGCCCCCACCCCCCTTACCCCACTCCCTCACCTTGCAGCCGTGGGGCCAAATCCGCCTTCTCCCTCTCTAGGGCTTGGAGCTGCTGCTCCCGGGCGGGGGCGACGGCCCCTGCCTCGCCAGGGAGGAGCTGGGGGGCCAGGGAGAAAGCGGGGGGCAGTCACAGCCCAGGTCCCCTGGCAGACCAGACCCAGGGGCTGGGACGGGGGTACCAGGCTAAACTGGGGGGCGGGGGGGCTTACCCCGACATGAACGTGAAGCCCACAAAGGGCAGACGGTGCCAAGGGAAGGTGCCTTGAGAGCTGGGGGGAGGAGACTCCTGGCAGGGACAACAACAGTTAGCAACAGCAGTGCTGGGATGCAGCTGGCTCTGGGGTGGGGCCCGGGGGGGTGTCAGACAAGACCCTGGGGCTGGGATGCGGCTGGCTCTGGGGTGGAGCCTGGGGGCTATTACACTAGGTCCCAGGGCTGGGATGCGGCTGGCTCTGGGGTGGAGCCGTGGGTCACTCACAGGCTCCTTGAGGGTATCATCGTCCACATCGAAGTTGGACGTGTCGCCGGGCCCGGCCACGGGGGGCACGTAGGGGGCGGGGCTGTCACGCAGCCTGGCCCAGGCCACCCCCCGGAAGAAGGGGTGCTCCTGGAAGTCCCCCAGCCCCCCCCGGCCCAGGCGCAGCTCCTCGCGGCACAGCAGTCCCCGGATCAGGGCCTTGGCCTCCTCCGACACGTCCGTCACCTCTGCCGGGAAGTGAAGATGCTCCTGCCGGGCCGGAGGCAGAGGGTGAGTCAGAGACCCTAATCCCAGCCACTAATCTTCATGCAACCCCCCTAGTCCTAACCCCTAGCCCTAAACCCAAATGTTAATCTAATCCCAGCCCCCAAACCACATTTGAGACTCTAATCTTAACTCTAATCCCAACCCTCAATCCCGCTTTGGACACCAAGAACGAACCCCAAATAGGAACCACTCCTAGCCCCTATCCCAGCCCCTAACCTAATCCCAGCCCCTATCCCTTTTCCCACCCACTGAATCTAATCTCAAAGACTAATCCTAATACTAAATCCTACCTCTATTCCCAACCCCAGGACATAATTGTAGACCCAGACCAAATCCCAACCCTCGTTTTAACTCAATCCCACCCTAATCTCGGCCCCAGCTCTGCCCCGTACCTCGTGGGCCATGATGCGGCCGTAGGTCTCCACGAGGGACTCGGCGTAGAAGGGCGTCTCGCCGAAGAGCAGCTCGTAGGCGCACACGCCCAGCGCCCACCAGTCGCAGGCCGGGCCGTAGCGCCCGCGCCCACCCTCCACCACCCGCAGCGCCTCGGGGGAGATGTAGTCGGGTGTCCCCGCTGCCATCGCCGACCCCACCTGGCCCAGACAGCAGGGGTCACGGGGCTGCTCCCACGCCCCTAGCCTCTGCCCTGGGACGCTAACCTGCACCGGTGTCCCCGCTGGGGTTCAAGGGTCACCGCCTGCCACCACCATCCCATGCCTGTGGACTGCTGACCCACACCAGTGACCCCACCTGGGCTAGAGGTCAGAGGTCACAGCCGGCCCCCCCATGGCCTGCCCCTACCCCCAGCACAGGAGCCTCCCACCAGTGATCACACTTACACAAGGGGGTCAGAGGTCAAGGGTCATGGCCTACCAAGCCCACTCATGGCCCTGCCACCCCCCGCACCCATCACAGCCCTGACCCCACTCCTGGGTGCCTCAGTGACCCTATGGCAGCCCAGGTACCACCTCTAGAGTCCAGCAGAGGTCAGGGCTCAGAGGTCCCCACCCCAAGGGTGCCGCGGCCCCTGCCCCTCACCATGCCGTCAGGCCCGAGGCGCAGACAGGACCCGAAGTCGGCCAAGCGCACGTGCCCCTGGGCATCCAGCAGCACGTTGTCTGGCTTGATGTCCCTGTGGGGGGTCAGGGGTCAGACGCCCGGGGTCTCCCCAGCTCCAGGCGGGGAGGGGAGGGGTGGAGGGGCCGGACGCTGGGTCCCACGTACCGGTGGACGTAGCCCAGGCGGTGCAGGGAGTCGATGGCCAGCACCATCTCAGCCAGGTAGAAACGGGCCCGGGCC